TAATCCGTGTTTTTATATTAACAAAGTACAGTAAGTATGTTTCTTTACCAAATTACTATTATATGTTCATTTGTCTCTCGCAAGGTAGATAGACTCCTTTAATTTGCCTTTTCTGTTTCTTTTGTTTAGTCGCATTCAAATCAAGGCATGTGAGGTGTATAGTCAGAAGTTCCTGAATTCTTTTGCTGTTGAAGGTGAGTAGTTTTCTTTTGGCTGTTGTTGGGTGCAATGCTGGAGTGGTTTTGTCTTGGTTGTCGGCTTGCTGTTGTCAGCAGCAATACTAAAGTAGTTAATTGTGTTTGATAGTAAAATTATCCAGGCCTTCTTTTTATAACTACACTGCATGATTGCAGAGCTGACCTATGTGACTGGGTGCAAGCAAGGCTTGCTGATGTTTGTTGCTGGAAATTGTTTAAATTGCTTTTTGCATGAATTGTAAATATTTTCTCAATCTATGTTTGTGAGATTTTTTTTTTCTTTTGTTGACACGTGCAAGTACAACCTGATGGCTCATGGGCTCAGCAGGCTGGTAGCTGCAAAGCTTAAGAATTGAGAAGTTTGGAGTGGAGAGAAAAAAAAGTTGTGCATGAACGTGCATGTTTTGCCAATATGTCATGTCAAAGGCTGAGTATTGTTTCTAGTTTTATGTCAAGAGTCTTGTTTTGTAATGGTATTATTATTGAATCCATGATAATAAAGTTGTCTTTGGCAAAGAGGTCAGTGTTCCAGTTGTAATATTGGATCAAGATCTTTTGAAATTATAAGTATTATACAGGTAAATCACTTTTTATTGTTTGATTTGGATTACCAAATGTCACTGTAACATTAGCACAGGTATTATACTAGTTATTAAAAAGGTCACTGCTGCACCTCCCCGGTGTTTCAGCGTTGAAGCCGAAGTCTGCTATCAGCCTATCACCGGGGCAGGAGTCGACAGCATCCATTGCTGCTAGTCTGCTACGATGGCATTGAAATTGCAGAACTCACATGTTTTACTTTGCAAGCAAGACGACAACGCATTCTTTATTTATTAGCAAAAATTATGCCACACTAGTATCTTTATTTGTCACATACTCGTTTCATTCCAAATTATAAGATGATTTTATTTTTTTAATATATTATTTTTACTATGTATCTAGAACCGTGTATATCTAAGTGTGTAAGAAAAATTATGTACATAGAAAAGTCAAAACGTCTTGTAATTATTTAGAAAAGAGAGAATAATAATAATAAGGGATTTGTTTGGTTCTATAACAATATTTGCATTATGGAGTACTACCAAAGTGTATAGCGTTTTGATTAGAGGCCTGTTTGGATACTATGAACGTATTGATAGTTACTTAAACTTTAGTATTAGTCCATCCAAATAGGCGGATTAAAAGGTAGACTAAACTTTTTTATGAGAATTACTCGGTACTACCTCTATCCCTAAAAGAATGCAACTACGGGTTACGTGTCAGTTAAAATGCTTCACATTTGATAAGTTTCTATTAAATAATATTCACATTTATAACTCCAAATTAATTTTTTATAAAAATATATTTTGTAATTAATCTAATCTTTTTTATTTGATATTATAAATATTTATATTTTTTATCTGTAATTTATCAAACTCGATGTATTAAAACATGACACTGTTCCAGAATTGCATTCATTTAGGGACGGAGGGAGTACAATGTAGACACCCACATACGCACACACGCACACTCACCCCTATGAACATATGTACGCAAACTCTACCCCTATGAGCACCTCCAAAGGCAAACCCTACTCCTACGAGCACCTATAAAGGACTGAGCCGGCAGATCTCAAGACTTATAAAGTCACCACAGGCGTCTCGCTGTTGACGGGGACGTCGCTTGCCACTAAAAGCATGGCGTCGTTAAATCCTGGAATAAATCCAGAAAAATGCGAGCAGCCGTATCAAGTCGAAAACTTGACCCCGGGTGGACAGGTTCCACTACAAGGAACCCAACCAACTGATTTATGATCAATTCGCAAAGGTAGACTAAACTTTAGTTCAACTTTAACTAGTGGTTAGTTTACATGGCAAAGGTGAGATAAACCAGACTAAAAGGTGGTACAAAACACAAAAAGATGTAAATAACCTCTCAGCTACCTCTTTCTTTCTCCTCTCTCCCATGCACAAAGGGTGGGTATATTCTATCAAATATGACTCACTTAAAGTTTAGTAGGTATCTAAACACCACCTAACTAAACTTTAGTTCTAGCTTATCCAAACAAACCTAGATCTAGCTAACATTAGTCTGTCAATAAAACTCGACTGTATATCTGTTTGGACCCGTTGTTGTTTCGAACCTCGTTAGGTTCAATTCTATAACCTTTTCCTCTAACCCACGGGTTGCCAAATACAGATAACGAATTCTCACAATGGCAACTTTTAACAAGATTTGCTAAAAAAATCTTTGGTAACAACCAAATAGTCTCATAACCTCAACACAATAACAATTAAAGTACATTGTTGAAATAAAGACTCTGGAGCAGAGCTTCCCAGTATTAATTAAAGTACATTGTCGTTCCCACAAATGACAACACTAGACGCCACATGCATTATACATTCATGGTAGAATGCTAACACTATACTTTTGAGCAAAAGATATCAATGTATTTCCAATGTCTCCTTTTGGTCTATTCAAATAAACAGATTAACAAATAACCTAAGAAAGATTTTCTAAAAGGTCAGATGGTGGCCCATGCTTTCCTTGATAGGAAAATAGTACCTTGACCCAATAACTAAAAGGAATAAAAAAAACTCACTTCTAAATAATTTTTATTGAGAAACTAACTCATCAAATGAACTTAGCACTCTTCACCACAAACACAATCTCAATAAATTATGGCTAATGTGCCACATTTTAGGCTTTTAGACCACCTCGGTCAAATTTGGAGTTGTTGAGTTATCACATGTCCACTTAATGCATTACAATTTTGCTTCAAACAACAAAGGCCCATAACTTTCTATGGAATTGTAATGCCTTTCTTTTACATTTCCTGAATTTGTCAAGTGATTTTATTATGAATTTGTTTGTTTTGCTATAAAAGGGATGCATGGGCAGGTAACACACAAGTCTTAGAATATCTCTAAAGTTCTAAAAACACTCGGTAAATTAATGAGTATTCTAAGTGGCTAGCGATGGCGGGGGCATAGCCAAGGGTAGAGGTTGGACTGACCAATGGCAACTAAAGGTAGACAGATAAGGTTCAAGTTTGGTAGGGAAAAGAAGAGTGCAGCTAAGAGGATTTTACCTTTTTATGGGGCGATGATCTGCATTGGAATCATCAAGTCACCTAGAGCAATGAGGTCGACTCTTAGGGCGTCTCCAACTATAATAAAAGAAATCGCTAGTGACGTAGCCTCTAAAAATAATAAAAAAAAGAACATCAGACGCGGTGGAGAACCTGCTACGAGGGAGAGCTTCTCCAAAGACGTGCGAGACAGATGATTTCTCTCTCACTGGCGCTGTGCTCGGTTTTGTTTTCGGCCAATAGAATTTGATGTTCGTTTTCGGCCAATAGAATTTGGTGTAGAGATTTTTTTTTTTTCCGTTGGGGACACCCTTAGAGATGCTCTCGTATAGCTAAGAGCATCTCTATCAGTTTCTCAATCCCACCTCTTACAAATAGACAACATTTTTTTTCTAACAGTTCCAATAGCTCTTTTTTTTTTGCCACCCAAATCGCAGCCATCTCCCCTCAAATCAAACGGGAGTTGCCCGATAGCTGGGCCCCACAACAACTGTCTCTTCTTCCTCCCTTCACACCACTGCTGTTGGTCGGAACTTGTTCGCCGGCCATGACAAGCCTCATCCGCTGCTCACTGAAGGTCGCCCTCGGGCCTCGGCGCCGCCGAGCTCGCCGGCCATGGCCACGCTCAAGATCCTGGCCGGAGCTGGCAACGACCGCGCTCGACGACCGGAGCTGGCGAGGACCGCGCTCGAGATCCTCCGACGAGGCCGCGAAGTTCCACACGCCGCTGCGTCTCGGTCCGCCGCGGCCATGGCCGCCGCCGCCCAGATCCGCACGATCTCCACCAGCATGTGCTCGATCTCCAACGGCGGTGGCAGCCGATCTCCAGAAGCTAGCCGGCGGGGGGCGAGCCCTCATCCACGCTCGTCTCCAGCAGCGGTGGCCGTCGGGTGCGTGCACTCGCAAAAGTCGCGATGCAGGGAACACGAACCGAAGGGGAGAAAAGAAAAGAAAAGAAAAGAAATAGATTATAATTGACAGGTGGTGCTATATTTTTAGGAGAGATTATTGATCATATGCTATAGCATCTCTCTCGATAATTCAAAAAGTAATATTGAACTACCCAATACCAGTTTATTAGGTGAGTTACATGGAAGAACTGTTAGAGATGCTTAAAAAAATTGAAACTTTTGGAAGCCATACGGGCTTTAATTCTTCTTTGGACGAGGAAATAGTATTAATGAACAGTGGCATTCATTTTACGCATGGTATACGATTCTAGGCAGCAAAGTATACGTATGGTCTCTGTACTTTGGTGCTTGCAGCTGACATAAAAAATAACAACAGAGAATCCAATAAAAAAAAGTAAAAGAAAGTATCAAAGGATGAGAACAACTGAGTACTATGGCTTTTCTCGTGATAGATTACTAGAGCGGAACAACTGAAAAGATGACGCACATGACACATGGCACATGACATGAAGAAATTATTATTGTGCTTCACCGGCCGTGAACCCCACCGACATGGTTACCGGTGCCTCTGCGTGGTCACGGCTCCGGAGTCGCCGTATCGGTGGCTTGCCTTCACTTGGCCGCGGCTAGCACGGCACAGTACCAGCAACCAAAAGATGAGAACGAAAGCACATCCCAATTTCGCTTGGTTTTTCACACACCAGCTGAGCTGTGAATGGTGCGACGACTGCGACTGTGCCCATGTTTTGTACAACACGCAGCACCGGCGAGAAAGAAAGGAAAAAAAAAAAGCTCGGACATCGGAACCGGACGGAAGAACGGTCAATCTCTGCTGCAGCTCCTGCTGCTGTCGGACTGTTGGAAGCTCACCACCGCGTGCGGCATCGACGACGACGACGACGACGACGACGACGCGACGACGGCGACTGGCGGACGCGCTGATCCTCCGCTGCTCTCGCCGTGCCCGCAGTGGTCATCGTGGCCCGCGCCCCTCGTCCGCTTCGTACTCATCTTGCACGACGCCGCCGTTGGAGGAGGCGGCTCCTCGAAGTCCTCCATCCTGAACGCCGGCCTCCACGGCGGTTCCGCGCTCCGCCGCAGCCGCTTGTTCCTCGTAGAGTCCCCGGCGCCGGCGGTGTCTGTGTCGGTGTCGTCGTTGTCGCCGCGGCCGCCGCAGGAGGAGGAGGAAGCCATGTTGTGCGGCGCCAGGCCCCTCATTGCCCGGATGTTGGCCAGCAGCGCGTAGAACATCTCCACCTGCTCGTCGTCGTCGGGATTGTCCTCCTCCTCCTCGGCGCCGCCCCCACCGCGGCTCTCGTCCACTGACGCTACGGGATGACCATCATCGACCTGCTGGGCCGCGGCGGCGTCGTCGTCGGATAACGCCGGCGTCTCCAGGGCAGCCCGCGCCGCCTGCTGCTGCTGCTGCGTGGCATCGATGGCTGGCGCGGGCCGTGCAGCCTTGTTTCCGCCGCGCGGTTTCTTGCCGTTGCCGTCCATAAGGATTCAGGAGGACGATCACTACTCGTAGGTTAGGTTGATCCCAATATAAACAACAATGCCGTACGCGTGCGTTCTTCAGCCAGAGAAAGACGAGGGGGAGGTTGGAGTGTGGCTGTTGCTGCTGCTAGCTAGCTGCAGAGGATCGAGGATTTATAAAGAGCGTCATGTGATTCAGACAAGGGATGAAGAACATTATTATGCTGCTGATGAGTACTCCGTACGTATGCAGTGCAGTGCCCACAGGCAGCGGATGGTATCAAATCCAAATGGTATTTGCCTATTTGGTGATGGATCACTCAGCGCTGCGGCGTGGACCGGTTTGGTCTCAACAATCGTGGGCATGCGCTAATTAATCTCTTCTCTATCTATAGCTCTATCTCTATGTTTCTACAACTAAAACATACGGATTATCAACATCTACCTGACAGGACCAAAGCATTCAAGCGGTGATTATCCGGCAGGCAAATAATCACGGCATCTCATGCGATCCATATCCAGTAGGCAAATAATCACCGCATGGAGACACTGGAAGGCAAGTAAATAAAATAGAATAAAACTCACAGAATCATCGGCAGGCAAATAATCACCGCATGGAGACATTGGAAGGTAAATAAAAAAATGGAATATCACCACGCAATGATCATGATCGTGATCCAAATTTCGTTCGTCGTCCTTCGCGTTGCGTGTTGACAACAAGTACTTTTTTCCCAAAAAATGAATTATTGACATGCCTCATGCGGGCTAGGATATTGTAAGTCCGAGTATACATGTTTTGGCAAGGCAGAGTATGGATAAATTCAATTCGATGTCTAGCAATAAATTTTCAACCTTTGAGGCAACTGATGTTTGTCGTAACTTTCAGACAACAATATCCAAGCCTAGCTTTTATTTCAGATTCATTATGATAATGAATGTGTTTCTAGACATTATCATGGTATAATACATGTGAAAAATTAAATTGATATATTCTTGATTTTGACTTGGCTAACAAACATTTCATTCAATTTATGTTGCACCCGTTACAACGCACGGACACTCATCTAGTACAAGTAGATATAGATAGAGTAGAGTAAAATTAAGGGGTTGTTTGGTTCGCTGCCGTTGGTAGCCAGCCATGGCGCCGCCACAATTTTGTGATGAGGGAAAAGCTCGCCACACTTGTGACGTAGACTATCACAGAAATGAACTGTAACGTTGCGTGGCCGCCTCAACTTAGGGTGTGTTTAGTTCCTCCTAAACTTTAGTCGCTGTCCCATCAGATATTTGACACATGTATGAAGTATTAAATATAGACTAATTACGAAACTAATTACACAGTTTGGGACTATTTTGCGATACGAATCTTTTAAGACTAATTAGTCCATGATTTGATAATGTGGTGCTACAGTAACATGTGCTATTAACGGATTAATTAGGTTTAATAAATTCGTCTCGTGAAGTACTGATGAATTCTATAATTTATTTTTTATTAATATCTAAACACCACGTACGACACCATCATATGACAGCTCCTAAATTTTTTAGTCACCGGGTTCAAACACCCTTTACGTGGAAACCAAACAATAGCCTGTTTTGCGTGGCTGCCGCATTCAAGGCGTGCCGAAGTCTGGCGGGGAGCCAAACACCTAAACCTTGACCCTGACAGCATCAATGGGCCGGCTAAGCAGTCCTGGAGAAACTGCTACTACTCTAGTAGTGAAATGGAGCGCCAGCAATGCCGCAAATAGCGATGGCGATCGGCCGGCCCTCCGCCCTCGGGTGTGGACTGGACGGCCGAAACCACGGCTAGGCTAGCTCCATCCGCGGCCACGGCCCACGGGCGCCGCCCTCGATGGTTCCGTCAGCGACAGCCCGACGGATGACGCAAGCGACAACGACAAAGCAAACTCCAACTTGTGCCGTGTGTGTGGAACACAAAAGGAGGAGAATATGATATCGTCTCGTCTCGTCGTCGTCGTCTATGGCCTGATTTAGTTGGCGAATTTTTTTGAAAAATAGTACTTAGCATTTTCGTTGTTATTTGATAATTAATATTCAATCATAGTCTAATTAGGCTTAAAAGATTCGTCTCGTAAATTTCGTCTAAACTGTGTAATTAGTTCTATTTTTTATTTATATTTAATGCTTCATGCATGCGTCCAAAGATTCGATGTGATGGAAAATCCAGAAAAATTTTGTATAATTTTAGAAACTAAACAGTCACTATCTTTACCCTTCACCAGCCGTGCTGACAGCACGAATGTGACGTCACAGCGGGAGGCCCCAGATGACGTACTACGCCACCAGGGAGGGATTCCTCCGTCCGCCGTGGTGTTGCAGCGGTAGCGGTACTATGCGCGTGCAGCAAAGCTGCAGGCGTCATCGCCGGCCGGTCGGCTTGCGTGTTCGGCTGGCCGTTTCTGGCTGGGCCTTGTATAGATTGTCTCAAAATTTTAAGTTTTTTTATTCTCTCTTCGTCGTATCAATTTTTGAACGTATGTATGAAGTATTAAATATAGGTAAAAAAAATAACTAATTACATAGTTTGGTTGTAAATCACGAGACGAATCTTTTAAGTCTAGTTAGTCCATGATCGAACAAAGTTTGTCAAATACAAACGAAACGTGCTACAGTGTCTAGATTGCAAAAAACTAGACCTGACTCCTTTTTTTTCGGCCGAAACAGTATATTTCTTTCACTATTTTCCAGTTTCTACAGTAAAAATCAGCTGCTGCAGTGCCCAGTTAATGCCAGCCGAACACGCAGGCCGGCCACGGCCAGGGCAGGGCCCGGCTCTCGGCGTGCCACCTGACAGCTGCTTTGCGCTTGCGCCCAAAACAAAGCATTTGGGTACGGGTGGGACCCCATCTGCCAGTGAACTTTGTTTGGTTCAGGTTAGTACTACCTTCGTCCTAAAAAGAATACAACTATAAGTTGGGTGCCACGAAAAGTATTTTATATTTGACTAAATTTTTAGTGAATAATATTCATATTTATTATTTTTAAATTAATTTATTATAAAAATACATTACGTAATTAATCTGATGGTATTTATTTGGTATCATAAATATAGATATTTTTTTATCTATAATTGATCAAACTTAAAGTAAAAAAAACGTAATCCTATACTAGAATTGCATTCTTTTGGAGATAGAGGTAGTAGTAAGCACCAAGGAACGGATTTAGTTTGCAGCCAAAATATATTATATTTATTTATAGTTCTAAACGTGATTCTCTGCATCCAATTCCAAATACGGCGGACTGGCTCCCACGTTGTTTCATGTTTTGTGGACTACCTTTACTCCACGTTTGCAGGACAACAAACGTGCCACATGTGTTTTAAATAACTTTACACCGCCATAGTAGCTGAAGCTTAATAACTTTACATCCAGGCCTGGTTTAGATTGTCTCAAAATTCTAAGTTTTTTCATTCTCTTTCTATCACATCAATTTTTGGACGCATGTATGGAGCATTAAATGTAGGTAAAAAAAATAATTAATTACATAGTTTGGTTGTAAATCACGAGACGAATCTTTTGAGCCTAGTTAGTCCATGATCGGACAAAGTTTGTCAAATACAAACGAAACGTGCTACAGTGTCCAGATTGCAAAAATTTGCAATCTAAACAAGGCCCCAGTAAGTTCATTTTTCTTTATTTAGTAAGTTCATTTTTCTTTATTTAGTGCCAAACATATATTGATTTAGGGGCTCAAACTCTGAACTCGCCTTCATTTTCTAAACTCTACACCGACTTAGCTGAAGCCTCACTATTGATGTTTTTCGGGTGCATAGTCAGGTGAGGTGAAGCTTTCGTTTTCATTGTTTTTGAGCTTGCGAACTAAGTCCGGACTCAATAATAGTTCAAGTACAAAATACGACTTTTTTTCATAATTGTTATTAAGAACTTCCTTTTGTATTTCAAAACCTTGGGGAGCCAGACATTGATATGAGAGATCATAACAGCCATAAAAGAAAATTTGGTATATATTCAACCTAATTGGAATAAGCTTGCTGCAGCTGCACGCCTGCAACTGCATGCACTTGCACTAACAATAGGTACAATAATGCGCCCAGCTGTGGAGCTGCAGGCCTGCAGCAAAAGGGCACTAGCAACTGCAGCAAAAGCCGAAGAGAGTGAGGACATTGTACTTATATTTGAGGGGGCAAGATAGTGGCATATTAATACAAGGACAAGGATAAACATATCATCGTTGAGTAGTGGGGCAGCGAACCCAGAGAGGTCAAGAACTTAATTAGACTTTATTTGGCATAGCTCTAGCTTAAGAACAAAATAAGTTGTAGGAAGTAGGTGTTTGTAGCTCTGTATTTTTTTATTTCAAATATAGAACTATAGTCACATTTGAGTAATTTTCTTTGGAGCTGTAGATAACAAATACCAAATAGTTATCGCCAAATGTTGTAGTTGTCTAGGTTATTTTTTTTTACGTTCGATCAGGATTTATAAAAAATATAAATATTTGTCACACTACATAAACAAATTATAAAAATATATATAATTTACCGTGTATCTAATGACACTAATTTGGTACTTATAAATCTTGAAAAAATTGGTCAAATTTCAGAAAACTTGACTTAATTAAGATAACACTAGGAGGGAGTAAACTTCAGTTACGAGACGGAGGTTTTCGAGCTAGAGCGACGGCAAATGATGCCTTAGGGCACCCGCAATAGTAAGAGTCAGCTACTAACTCTAAGCCAACCTCTTCAATATTGTTAGCTTTTTGTAATGGCTCATAATATGATCAGACCTATATGACACTCTTACATATATTCTTGAAATGTGTGTATAAGCATAGCTCTTAATAAAGAGCTAGTTTTTCTCTCTCTTCTATTAAAATATGAAAAAAATGTTTAGAGCTAGCTTATGAACCACCTATTGCAGGACGACGAGGATAAAGACCCTCTTTAACCTGAATTCTAATTGATTGGATATCACGCACAAGGAATTGAAGGAAGATGCGATGTTTTATTCCAGTGAACCCAAACGAAAAATGCA